AAAAAAAAAAAAAAAAGCAAATATATGATTTATTTATTCAGCTAGCATCTCAGATTTCTTTCCGTCTATATCCCTCTCCTTTGTGGAGAACTCACTGTACCATATCGAGCCATTGCACACGAGACATCATGTAATTATTTAAAGAGATTAGACTATTATCTATATGTTCTATATTGTATACAAGATACTTCAGTAAGCAAAACGTTATTCGTGTTGCACCACCATCCAAAGTACGAGGGGGGGTTATTTAGGCTGACATGTACGAACTCGGCTTAGAGGACATCTAGCAGCATCTTTCCACACGATACACTTCGTCTGATTTGTGGTTGAGGTGTTAGAGAGTAGCATTGTACCTGTACATAAAGTCCAACTTAACAACAAGAACGTTCTTAAAGTTCTGTTTCAATGGTTGTTGTTTATATTTAGTTCATATATATATAACTTATGTAATATTAATTTTAGTTATTTATACATTTTAGAGACAGATTTTTATATGAACATAGCGATCACGATTGTAGCAAATACTCCACACTTACAATCTGCAGATACGACAGACTGCCGAACACGTTTGTCCAGAGAACGGACCGTTCGGATCGATCATCTCCATCGTTTCCTTTTCTACGTCCTGCTTTGTACCAGACGACACACGAACCCTTTGCATTACGGATGATGGTTTCAGCTGTGACACGCTTGTATTTGAAGTGGTTTTTTTTCTCCTCTCCCAGTCATTTCCGCCCACCGTCCACTCTGCTCTTTGGTTAGCATCAAAACTTTAAGCTGACATAAGCAATAACAGACAGATTTTTTTTATTTATTTTTTTTGCCAAGTCATCTCCTTCTACTGTGGGCCAGAGCCACTGTAAAAAAAAAAAAAAAAGAACGCAGCAGCTATTTACAGTATGGACCCGGCATCAGTGTGTGTGTGTTTATTTGTGTTTGCATGCGCACTTTAACATTTTTTGCACACATGACTGAGCACATTAGACTGACACAGCTCAGTTGAGCTGATCCATGGGGAGAAAAAGGGGAGAATGGAATCAGAATATTTAGCGAGCGAGCGAGGGGAGTCTTATTGCAGTCGTAGGTTTTTATCTGGTGAAGCAGCTCTGCAGACGCACACACAGGGTCGTCAACAGATGATGTGTTCGTACTGGTTTACTTTAGCTTAAAAGGGCGGGACAAGGACGAACAAATTTTAAGAGCACAAGTTAGCAAAGTGGAAGTGAAAAATAAAAATTTGTCACTCGCTAGAAGGTCAGTTTACTCACTGTCGGCCTTTTTCCACTGCACGGACTTATGAAGCTCCTTTAAAGGTCTTTTAACAATTTAGGATTTGTTTTGAGGTTTTCTCTTGTCTCGTTCTGTACAAACAGACATTTGGACTGTTAGAAACTACACTATGTTAAATAACTTCAATGCCTACAGGAGGTGGAAGCATCACAGCTACTGGTTTTAGCTCCAACTGGTGGGACCAGCACAAGCCAAAATGGGATCCTACACTTTCAAACACAGTTTTTTTTCCCACTTGTTCCATGCGCTCCCTTCACTGTCAGCCCACAGCTTTTTGTTTTTAAAGGGTGAACAGCCCAATAAGAGCTCAGACGTATTTGTCCGACAAACATTTTCCAGCTCGATACCCTCGCTGTGACGTGACAGCAAATCTGCTACATCGATCGCAGTCCAACGCACTTCAGCAAACACTTCAAGTACCTGGAATTTGCTTTTAGTATCACCTCCTGAGCAGAGCCCAAATTTATTTACAGCTACCTCGACCCCCCCGAAAAAGCAGAAAACAGTAAGAGAGAGAGAGAGGGAGAGAGGGGGAATCAATGGCTGCAGGTTATGTTTTGGCTGTTGTTTGCTGCGCTTAAGTTCCTGCAGTGGAAAGAAACGTACACGAGTCACTATCAGATGAATGTCCACCAGCTGGGAAACTGTTTAGCTTAGCATGACTCGGCACCAATCTTTGTGTGAGAGTTCTTTGGGCTTCATGATGCAGGTTCCATCTTTAGTCTTTTGCAGATGTACTGTACGCTCAGCTTCCTGTTCATCTTCATGTGTCACCACCAGAAGAAATTATGCATGATTTGATGCTTTATTAGTGCATTATCATTTCTAATCTAATAATTTCTGTCCCGTCATCCATCCATTTACACACCAGACGATGCTAACGTCAGTGCAGCATAACTGATCACCAAACATGATTCATATTCAGTCGCACCATGTGCTGCTGCTGCTGCTGCATCACAAAGCCGATCACGTGCTCTCACGCTGCAGTTTGGACGTGAATGTGTCAAAACAGACTTCATGTTTGGGTGCAAAGTTGTTGGACTGCACAAAAAAAAGGTGGCAGACAATCCACTCTCCACATGTATGTGTTGTTTTTTTTAGAAATTCACATTAGGGGGATTTAATGTTAACAAATGACAACCTATCTGTTAATTTGATTGGTGTATTCTGCCGCTGCGATGTCGCCATACGTCACTTTGGCTCACAACGAGATTCCACAGCCTCCATCTGTCAGGTCCCCTCCTCCTTTCAAGTAATCATGGGCTATACATGGCTGTTTAATATTCATAATCATGTGTCACTTTGACATTTTCAAAAGGTTCCCAATCACAGTCTCTGATGGCATCCTGTACAGGCTATGCATAACAATCTTCTCCTCTGTCATCAATAATTGTAGCTATCCTCAGAGAAGTCACACAGGGGCTGGTGTGTTGAGATGAATACAGGGCTGCTGCATTATCACTGCTGGTCTGAATGGTGAAGCCAGGAGCTGCTGTGGGGAAGGTTGTTGTTTTTTTTTATTTAGCTGCACTGTAAAACACAACTTAGTGAATTCTAAAAGCATTTAGGAATAAGTCAAACACACGGAGCAGATTTTGTGCAGTGCGAGGTGCCACAGGGCTGCGCAGTGGGCAGCAGGTCTGTACTGTAGCAGATGGGACAACCTCCCTGCTCGACAACATGTAGCTCACATTCCTGGGATTCTTGGAGCCACTACGCCGAGCTCCTTTCTTGCACAGCTCTTTGAACCGATCTTTTTATAGCTCCATGACACTGAGCCTGTGTGTGCTTATTGCATTATCCATAAAAATTAATGTAATCCAACCAGCCACACATGTTAAGTTTTGAATATCTCTTTTTTTTCTTTTTTTTTTTTTTCCTCCCAGCTGAAAATTTTCTTAGCTGAGGCCTGAGAGAAAAATATAAGTGCAGGGTGACGCAAGGAGCTGTCAGGAATTCATACGGAGAAATTTCATCCCATATCTGACAGAAATGGAAACGGACACATCCCTGCAGCAACAAGGAATGCTTACATTTTGTACATACGTGTGATCTTGTGATTATTTCCTCTGTTAGAACACATTTTTTTAAATGTTAAATATGGTAAATATAATGACTATTAAAGTTTAGATAAAAACCAGTGCCTCTTAAATCCAGAGCCGAATTCACTCCATGTTGTCTATTTTATTTATTTTATTTTTTCCCCCCTTTGCAACACAGTCAAAACACATCTCAGTTTTCATCCATCTTTTTAAAGCATTTCCTGACCAAGACATGGTTTTTGACTTACAAGGTTACAGGAAAGCATCTCAGAGGGACGGTTCTGGGGAGACAATGCGGGACAAGTCCTGGACTAGCACCACTATCCATGTGGGGAGAAGAGCTTTTCTTAACCGTTCTTATCGTCGTGCAAATTGTGTAATTCTTAAAATAGGAGAAGTCACTTCTTTGTGTGGGGAGGGGAAAAAGAAAAGCTAAAAAACATATTTTTCTAGCACTAGTTTCTGGAGGGCTTGAAACAACTGCGTGCCCACGTGGGAGGAGAAAGTCCTGGGATTGAACGTAAAACGAAGTACAAAATAATGACTTACAATTAAGTCCCAGCTGCTCTGTAGTTATGTGGCTTTACAGCATGCCTCAGGGTAGTGCATATAGACCCCTGAAATAACTAAAGCTGTAATTAAGGTTGCAACGTTTTCCCTGTTTTTACCCAACCCAGACATCAGGAATACCTCGGGTCTGACATGGGCGAGAACGTCCCTGCTGAGAATACGCTGCAGATATGAATGAGACCGGATTAAAACCACATTCTCTGTATTATAAATGTGATTTCTAAATGTTGCTCAGTGCTCGGCTCATAGCAACCAGCAGGCAGCACGAGTCCAGGACGAGTGCTGCACGCCGCAAACGTGTTCTTCTGCTGACACCTAAAGGACAAACGGGACGCTGTAGCTGCAGCACGGAGACGGAAACGTGTGACGTTACGACAACACAACAGAGGAAATGTTGTTTTTAAATATTCTTTATTTAAAAATTATAATAATTCACAGTTTATTGGGAATTACAGCACACAATTAAATGTGACAGACATGAATAAAAATGTATTGCTTTGGTTTTTTATCGAGTACCCATGTGCATAAAACAATGTAAACCGATGGGTCCAAACAACAATGGAAATCAAATACTCCAGCCCGTGTAATCACCTGTGTTTTGGAATGAATTAAATTAATCACTTGATTCAAAATGAGAGTGAAAAGCACAGATTTCATAATTTTAAAAGCATAAAATACAAAGATAAAGCAGATGTTTGATTTCGTCACAAAAATATTAAAATATCGATTGCTGTGTAAATAAAGCTAAAAAAAAAAAAAAAAAGGTTTAAAAATAGAGTGTCTATAAAATATTTATACATGTACAGAGAATGTCATGAAAGCCTCAGTTAGTGCAGAAGTATTTAGAATCTGCATAATTTAGGAGATACGACAGATAAATAAATTATGGACAAAATACTTAAGAGCCTTCGCTCAGCGATGGTGGCTGCGTTAACAACACACGATGATCAATCTGCCGCTCCCATAATTTCAGGCTCCTCGTGTCGACAGAAGGCAAAGACAACGCAGATCACCACGATAACTTCATACTGTAATCTCAGCCCTCCATGTTTCACAGTGGTTAAGATTCATTTTCCAATCTCGCGCATTATTAGCATCGTACTCTTCGAAGAACATTCAGACCACGTCAGCTGGTGCACTGTCACAGTGAAAGACTGCTCTCATTAACAAAGAGATGCGTTAGAAAACGAATGCAAAAAAAAAAAATTAAACAAAAAGTCAGCCAAAACCTGACCTCAACGGTTTGTGTTCACATGATGGCAGATAACACAGCAAAGACTGTTTAGGACCACCGCCGTGGACGTAGTGTTTCCAGCATACGCATCAGCTCCAATTACAGTTAAATAAAAGGACTTGCCTTAATTTTATGTATTCCAAAGTACATTTGATGACAAAAAGTGTCTAGTGTCAACAAAATACATAAAAGGTCTTGTCAAAAGAAATTACAGTGTCTTTACTCAGCATTAAACAGAACCTATGAGTCAGAAACAGTACTTTGATACACACTCTGCTGTATTTGAGGCAAATGTCTTTGAAATTAAAAGTCCGAGCCCTGTCCCCCGTCAGACGCCCATCGAGCCGTGTTATCTGTAGTATTGCACATTAGAATAAACTAATATCTCTCTGGTGTCCAGTACCGCTGCCTCCGCAGCCGCCCGGCCATGCAGAAAAGACCTCCCAGTGGATTTTACTGGGACTGGGAGAAAGCAGCCATTTCTGCCGCCGAGCGCGCCGCATGGAGGACAATGACACCGTTAACAACACAGTCCGACAGACTTTGGAACAGCTAAACATTTTCTCTTAGAGTATATAAACCGTCTATACTTGGTGATGTGGAAAAATGTCTCATACATTCTTAATTTCCATCATTTCTAAACTAATTAAATTCTATGTTTAAGTACCACTTGCTTCAAGGAGGACTCTTGAAAAAAAAAAAAAGAAAAACCCGGGCAATCACTTCAGACAAGGTGATTTTCCCTGCCATTATTCATTATTCTCCTTCGCCTCCTGCATGTAAATTTTCTCGCAACATCAAAAGTTTCAAGGAGAAGAAACGCTCGGCGAGTCGAACACACACGTCTTCATCTACCGACGGATAGTGTCCAGAAAACTCTTCCCTGCTTTAGAGGCACATGTGCAGCCTGTAGATGATTTAAAAAATTAAAAAGTGTAAAGTTAACTAAGTCTCCCAGCTGTAACAGGCTTTATCCACAGTGAGAGGTAACGTCTCCCGTTCATTCAGCTACTAATATTAAAATCCTAATGAAACAAACCTCCATGAATGTGCATCACCTGCAAAACCGCACGACAAAGATAATTTCAATACAGCCAACATGTGAAAAGTCAGTGTCAAGGCACATGTACAAAGACGCACTTTTGCAAATACTCAAATCAGTAAATATCAAAAGTGCAATGTTTCGACGCCCCCGTGTGACGGGGCGATACGCTAACGTATCAGAGCTAGCCGCTAGCGCTCCAAAGTAAAACACCCCCGATGCTAACATCACATCAGAGGACATTCTTTAAGTGTTGCTGCTGAAAAGCAACAACCCACTAAAGCTTTTGTCATTGTTTTGGTTCATTTGGTTTTCTTACCCTCCCCCCCTCAAACAACCCCGTCAGCAGCTGTACGCAGCAGATTAGCTCAATAAGCCTATTGTATGCAAAACTGTCGAGAGCAAAGTACCTCTTACAGGAGTTTGTGAACCGAACCGAGGATAAATTCCCAATGAATGCCAGCTCCAATGGGTTACGTACGTAGCCCCTGTGTGAGTCGGATGTGTGGCGGACACCTAAACCACGAGAACCAAAAAGTCTCAACCAGCAACAACATCTGGTTCTAGCAACTCATCTGCATGTAAAGTAATATATATAAAAGGGTTTCTTGAGGAAAGTACTGCATTCATTTTTCCAAACTAGCTACGAATTCAAGCGAACCGAATAGCCCTTGATGCACACAGGAAGATACAGAACGTCAGGTGGAGTCACGTATGCAGCTACAGCCCCAGACACGGGTTGTATTTAGGGAAAATGTCAGGTTTAACGTAAGGGTGGCAGCACATGTGTGGCTCCTTTTCATCCCAAATACTAGCTTGCACCAAGAAGCCATTACAACAAACACACGTCTTGTAGGATCCGTTTAAACACTTCCAGGAGCAGAGGTTTCATTGGTATGTTCAAGTGCTGTTTCCTTGCTCTTGCTCAAACAGCAGCATGGCGAGCTGGGAGCGCGAGCCGATGCCTTCCAAGTTGCTCTGAACACATCTGTGGTAGATGTCCTCGCTGAGCCGCGGGTTGCAGTCCTGGTAGTGGTATTGCTGATGTAACGCCGGCTCGACCGCTCTGAAGACATGCAGACCCGAATACTTTACGAACATGTCATAGATATCCAGGCTCTCCAGAATCTCCTCGTTCTCCTGGACGTCCGCCACCATGCGAGTGCGTGTCGTCATGTAGTCCGAGTTGTAAAAGCACGATTCCTCAAAGGACCTGCGGTCGAAGTGGCCGGCGTCCTTGACCAGATCGACGGTGGCTGGATGTGGCTGGTTGTGATAGGCCACGTCGGGGTTGAACTCCTGGAAGTGGATGGGGAAGAAAACCTGCCAGTTGTTTATGGAGTTCATGCGACAGCGGTTCAGGAACTCTGAGTTGATGTTCGTGGTGACTTTAGCCAAGAAGAACAGGGTGTCGACCGGGTGCTTCTTTGAGATGATGTCCATGAATTTGATCTGGGAGGGAGTTTCCGTCTTGACGCTTATCCACGGGATCTTCACTGTCGAGTATTTGCGTTCATAAACGTTAATCTGAGCCTTCACGCTGGCAAATATATCATTCTGGTTGACCTGTTGCGCCTCCACTGGGTCATAAATAAACAAGAACGTTAGGATCGCGTTTTCATTGGTTTCAAAGGCGCTTGAGGCAAAGACTTCCAGGAAATGATTGACAAAGTTGCGGTCCTGCAGCGTGAGAGGTATAATGATGTGAACCCTGGTGGCTTCGGTGACGTAGGGCATGGGAATGATCTCTATCCGACTCAGAGGCCGCACTAGGTGAACCCTCTTAGTGATGGAACGGCTGTGACCTTTCTGATTAACAACCTCCAGCTGAAGGTCTAAGGTGTACTCCATGCCCCTGATGGGGTCGAAGCGCCGGTAGCCATTAATCAGCTGCTGCTTCTTCAGGTGTAAGGTGGGCATGTACTTCTTGTTCAGCTCCGCGATGGCCGTTTCAATGACATCGGCTACGTCCATGCGGTCAATGCCGCGCAGCTCGCACTTGGGAGAGCCGTCGATGCACGAATAAATCTCCTCCTCTGTGAAGTATTCCCACTTCAGAACCTCAAATCGAGACTTTGGCTCAAACGGTGGATTGATCCCGACGGGCCACTGAGCGCTTCGGTTGCCATCAAAAGCAACCACGCTCACATTTTTTATCTCTGCCTGTGGAAACACAACAAGTGTTCAAATGTGATGCATGTCAGCTCACCATTTACACAACCAGCACTCCACTGAAATGTGGTGTTTTGTGCCAATAGTCAAGGTAAAGAGGGAGAGGCCGGGTTTTTATTTTTGACTGATCCACAGGTGATTTGTGACACTTGAAAATCAGCTTACCTGCAGCTTAGCAATCTCATCGTAAGTCTTCTGGAGTTCAATCTCTGTGAAGTGTCTGTGCAGCCGGTACATCTGCTCAGGGTCAGACACTGGATGGACGGTCAGAGCATTCTTAAACTGTTCGCTCTGCTCTTTGCTCGGATCCGAGTTTTTTCCCAGCTCATAATGGTGGTACTTGCGTCCCTGAGAAGAAAACAAGAGATCTTTTCATGAGGCGTGATGGCATAACAGAAACATGCCTAATGTTTTTCCAAGCTCTGTTGGTATTCTGCACTGCTTCCACTCAAACAAACAGTACATGCCATGTAGGCAGCATCTTTGGCTCGTCTCCACAGCAAACAGGCTGCTTTCAACCACAATTGCACAGTGAAATGAAGACTCAAATACATTTTGTAAGAATAAAACGCTATGATTATACACCTCCAGACTTTTATTGCGAGAGTTTGGGCATTTTTAGGGATTGCGTTTGTTCTGGTACCAGGACGTTTAAAAAGTACACTTTGTCTTGTTTGATTTCCCCGTCGGATTAATAAACTATCACCACTTTAGTAGGAAGGAAACAGAAGACTTAGAAGCTGAGAATTAAAGGGTGAAACCTGTAGCAGAAGTGAAGGAATCCCATTTGCAGACGCAGCCATTTAAGCTGAAAACAGAGTAACCGCCTAAGTAGCTTGAGTGATTTAAAAAAAGTGAATCCAATCTGATCAAGCTATTAAAAGAACAAGAATGCCTAACCGAGCAGTGTGACCACTCTGGTGCACATGTTTGCCAACAGCTTACAGGCCTGTAGCTGCACACTTAGTGAAGCATTGTCCGTGCCTAATTGTCATCAGTGTTCTCTCTTAGCTGGAAAAAAATGGATGTCTGGCTCCGTGTTCAAGCTGTTTTCTTCACCCGTAGCGGGCCTTTTAACTTCCCCCGGCCTCTCCGCCTTATCTCCAGGGCTCTGCTGGAGCTCTTCTGGCTCAGGGCGCTTTAGTTAGCCATGTAACTCCCGCTAAACGGTGCAACAAGATGGTTTCCTGCTTCAGGTCAAGGCCGAGGGAGAGAAAATGGAATCAAAAACATTTTGAAATCGTTAAAATAACATACAGGCACAAATCCTAAACGCTTTTCCTGTAACAACAAATGTCCAACTATGGTTCCTGAAACGATCTCCTGAAAGGGCACCGCGACACGGCTTATTTGACCTCAAATGTTAATGACATTAGAGGAGCAGAGCATGTTGACCCACAGGGGATTTTCACACCATTGAACCTAAGCTGAACCTTCAGCTGTGCTCTCTTTGCCTATTTACCTATTCCACGTCGCTGCCGGAGCTGTAGAAAAAAAAAAAAAAAGTAAGGCTAAAGGGTATTAGCAATCTACTCTGTAATATAAATACCATCTCGGTGCTAGCATGGTAATTACAGTTTTATATAGCTGTCTGTCAGCTTTAAGTGTCGTCCCAGAGGCAACCCATGATTTCTACGGTGACAGTTTTGTTTTTCTGCTCAGGAGGAGAACCCCTGCTGGAACCTGTCACACAGCTGTTCTCAGGAAATCTCTTGTCTTTGTGGCTCAACAATCGTTTAAACTGCTGTGGCTCAGGTGGTTGGCGGTTCGATCCCCGGCTCCGCCACAGTCGAAGTGTCCTTGAGCAAGACGCTGAACCTGAAGTTGCTCCCGACGGCAGGCAGCACCTTTAATGGCAGCTCTGTGGCCACTGGTGTGCGAATGGGTGAATGAGAAACACACTGCTCTGGATAACAGCGCTGTATAAGTGCAGACCATTTCAGAGGCCAAGAAACCGCTTTAAACATCTACTGTATTACTGGAAAGAGATGATGGTGATGAAGAGCACCCTCGGCTTACCTCGTATTCGCTGACACAGTTTTTGTTGGTGTAATCTATGATGCACCTTCCGAGCCACTCGTCAGGTCTGGCGCTCAGGATGTCGTTCCTGCAGTTTTCCAGGAAGGGCTGGAGCCGCAGGAGCAAGCTTCTGGACAGGAGATACCCAAACCCTCCGTAGCAGTACTTCCCCTCCATCTCCCCGCCGATGAACTCCTCCGGGCTGCCCATGTAAAGCTCCCGGTCCATGCTCAGGTGCTCCACCAGGGCTTTGATCCTGTCGGCTTCGGTGTAGGCGTCGTCTTGGACGAAGTAGAACCAGTCGTATTCGTTGATGTAGTGCTCCAGGATGTACTTGATGGTCTGAAACATGTTCCAGATCTGTCTCTCGTCTCCGTGTGAAACCACAAACATGCCGTGAGGGACTTTGCGGTTGCGCGAGCCGGTGAAGAAGATCACTATGTCCAGGTGGTGGCTAATGGTGCGGTTGACAGCGACCCCCAGGGTGTTAATGGTGTTTTTGGATGTCAGGACCCCGACGAACAGACGCTCCCGCATCCCCAGCTCTGTGCTTATGTATTTAGCCCTGAAAGATAAGTCAAACAGCCGCTGAGTAAACACTGCTGAGCATTAAAACAAAAAAAAATCAACACTAAAGTAGGAAAACCTCCAGTTCTTTAAACTGATGTGACACCAACAGACATCACTGTGACTTTCATGTTTAATTCATTAAGTGGGCTTAAATAAGTGGGCATGACGAGAAGCAATCTGCGGTTTCTGTCCGTCAGTTTCCACTGAATTTCTGGATGATGTAAATATCCAGACGCACAGACTAACAAGAAAAACCACAAGCTCTTTTGAAAAGTCAACATGCAAGAACTTGTAGTGATTTACCGCTAACCAGAAACAAACTGAACCTTTATTTCCTCCTTGTTCTCCGCATGCCAGCGTTACCGCCACATATCAGGGCTGCTGCTGCTGCTGATTGGGATTCCTGACGACGGGAAAAAAATGTAAAGAAAAATGTAAAGCATTTGCAGATTGCAGCATCTCAGAGATGAGAATCTGCTGCTTTTATTTGTCGTGTGTTATATGAAATGAAATAAAACTGTGATTTTAGGTGGACAGTCTGATCACGTCAGGCTCTGGGCAGTTCAATAAAGAAAAGAAAAAAATCATTAGATGAAGCTTCTAATTACTGAGCAAACCGCTGGATGGCACACCATGCCTGTTAAAGTCGGGCCGCTCACGCCTCTGAAAGCCTCAGCATAACTCCTCCAGGGGGGGAAAAGACTCTTTCGTGGAACTGCAATGAAATCCAACCACTTTGGGGTGTGAGGGCAAACATTCAGACAAGGTCTCTATCCAGGAACTCTTGGAAACGTTCGCCTGCTTGCACAGAAACTGTAAGTTCGGCATCCCCGAGCCTGTGGGCAGACTGCAGCACCAAATATGCACTTATTCTCAGCTGAGCTCTGGAAGTGGGGCAAACTTCACATTTGGTCAGACTGACTGTGGAAATTTGGTCAAGGCCAGTAACAGCTGTGACAGAATGGGGAAAGAAAGAAAAAAAAAAGTTCCAGCTGCCATGTAGCTGTGTTTTATGAGTTTGATTCATGAGTTTTAAATACCTGACAGCCGCTGAAACCTGAGCACATGGCATAAAGTAACACAAAGGCTGGTTTCATCATCATCACCATCATCATCACCACAGAGATCATTTGGTGGGGATGAGCTGCGGCCTGCTGCTCTGGACGCGATAATAACATGACCTGGATTCAGCGCGACCGCCGGACCGCGCAGTGTGACTCCGCCGCTCGCTCCCGACGCACACTCACCTGAAAACTTTCTTCGGGGCGCTCGGCTGGACTTGTTTGTATGGGACTATCCTCGGCTCGAAGTCCTCCTCGGACTCCGCTTCGTTGACAGTCGATATGGAGTTGGGTTTTCGGGCTCCCTTGAGGAGTCCGTCCTGACCCGAAGTCACATCCTCACCCTCGTCCAGATAACACGCTTCCTCGGTCCAGTGTACACTCAGTAAACTCAGCGTGAAGCCCAGAGAAACGCCGATAATCACCGGGCCGAGCGACCGCAGGACAGAAATAAACAGTGAGAATCTCATTTTGAGCGTCGGCTCTCTCCGGCTGACGGTCCCGCGTCGGTCCGCCGTCCAACAGGCCTCTGGTCCGGGACAGCTCAACTGCTCATCAAGTCTCGAGTCGGGCAGCGGTATCCAGAGTCAACTTGAGAAAAAGATGCAGCTTCTTCCTTAAATTTTTACGCAGGATTGTTACGTGTCAGTCGGGCTGCTACCTGGCTCCTCCCCCCGCCGGCCTGCTGCTAGCATCAGAGGCGGGTCTAGTTGAGCGGCGGGCGGAGGGATATCCAGGGTGAGCCGGCGAGCGACGGCAGGTGAACAGGAACTGAAACAACATCTGTGTGCAGCAGGTGACTGTCTGCATGTAAACATAAACATAAACATAAATATAAACGCTGTGCTGAGGACACACAGAGCTGTAAACACCGCTCTGCTTCTGTTTTTAATTTAACTCACATTAAAATAACACCGAGCTTCAAACAGTTTGAGCCGTCAAATGGAGAAATAATACTGATTACCAACTTACCAAACAAGTAAAGATGGTATACTTAAAAAAAATAAATAAGTCAATCTCACTATTCTCATTCTTATCAGTTAAATTAACTATTTTTTATTACTTTACTTGACTAATTTCAGTATTAAACTAAGACCCTACAATATAAATTTATTCATTTGCCTCACATATTTAAATATTAGCCAGGTGAGCTGTTTGTTTTATCAGTTTATTTGACTAATTTAAACATCAAGGTTAAAAATCCTACAATATTAGACGTAATAGAAATGTGCACAACAACTTTAAATATGAAGATTTACTAATTTAAATATACATTAAGCAAATTTGATTAGTTTACGAATTAAACTAAGACTCTACAAGTTTATATATATTGCAGATTTTACCTGGCAAAATTAAATATTAAAGTTATGTTCTGGTTTTTCTGTCTTTTTTCAATATTTTCCTCCAACATTGAAATGATGAACAAATAGAGATGTTTGAAAGTTCTAACATTAAGCTAAAATTTAAAAAAGAAAAAAAGGGCACAGAAAATGACACTAACATACATTTCTTTGGCAGCGAATGGTGATAGTTATTTGTGTAAAATTGAACTTTTATGTCCAAAAACCTATCTGAGCTTATGAGTGGTGTACTATTTTGAAACCTCAACTTACTGTAATTTGCTATTCATGCAGTAATATAATATCTACACATCTGACCCTCACAGAGGCCACCTGTTAGTTCATATTGCTGATAACACCTAAGTGTTTTTACCTTTTTGTTATGATTTTTTTGCAAAACGTATACAAGTATTGAAGATTTTCCAGTGTAGTTTCTCTACTTGTACTTTAATTACATATGCATATGTCCTTTACTACTGTTTGCACGTCACACACCTTCACGCTTTCCTCTGTGAACACATGAACACCCTCAATAACAAACTGATCCCACCAGGGTGCCCCAGTGAAGGCCACGTTAGGCCCTTTACCCCACTGACCATCACTAGTGTAATAAAGCCTCTATGGACACTGACCAGGATTATTGTCATTGTCATAAACCTTAAATTCAGTCACATTCTATTTTAATTTCATTGCTCATAATTTATAACACTGCAACTATTACTGTTCACTTTCTTGATGTGCTAATTTTAAAACCCAATTACTACTTTTTTCATACCATATTTTAGGGATTTATTCAGACATTTAAGTACAATAAAGCATTTATTGTACTCATTTAGATTTTTTCTAGCTTTCCCAAGCACCACATTATTGCTGGTGCACAGGAGAACCAATCAGTCTGTATCAGAAGCTGAAGTTTCTCCCAGCAGCTGCTCCATGTCTGTTTTATTGATGATTGGCTTCACGCTCGTCCACCCGGGTCGTGCTGTTCTCTGTCGGCCTCGGTGCTCCTCACCCCGGTGTCGGGGGCCAGCGGGCCTTAAGTTCTCCTCAGTCGACCCTTCGGCTGCAGCTTTTTGAGTCCTTTTGTGAAACTTGCTGCCCTCGAGCTCACCCATCTCAGCAGACTTCTGTTCTCTCCCAGAGCCTCTGACCCACACAGACTGAGCAGCAGAATAACTCTTAATCTTCAGTCACAGGTCCTCAGGTTGGGCCGTCTGAGGGCCTGTTTTATTTAGTCTTGGAATTTTTAGCTGGAAGAGTTGAATCAAGTGTTTGTAAGTACAAATAAAGTGATGTGATTAATTACACAGTAGTATCAGTGCTGGGGGTGTTGCGCAATGTGCTCATAAAGTGTTTTTTCTCTGTATGCAGTTGTCTTCTGAAGTCATAGCCGAGCACATAGAAGTGTTTGAACATTCCTCAATAAACAAAGACCCACAAAAATACACATTTCCCTTTGAAGGAAGCAGTTTGTATGACTATATGAGGCCAAATGTGAGCAAAAGTTTTCACCTCATATCATTACTTATGTTCCTCTCTGTAATATACACACATGATATATAACAAAGAATATAAACATTTTAAAGTATCCTCTCTCAGTACATTGCAAATGCATTTTCTATGTGCATTTTCTAGCTTGCATCCCTTTTCCATTCATTCAAAGGCAGAACAAATCTCTGTTCTCTTCTGCCCTCTGGTGGCAACAAAAACACCTACAACAAGAGTTTGGATCATAAAGGTGTTATTCTGACTGATGAAACATGATCAAGGGTTAAAGAGGCATTTATTTACAGTATTTATCTTTGGTTACATGCTTTAGTCGATGCAAAATGTGTGTAAATTTGATGAATTGTGCTTTAACTTTGATGATAAAGACCTTCTCAGTTTGTCGGTGTAAAATCAGAAAAAGCTTCATTGCCAAGTGCACTCACAAGGAATTCTCTCAGAACTTATGAAGGGTTCGTAAAACAGCAAGACAGAGTTAGTAAGTAACAAATATAAAATCTTAATCTTGAAATCTTAATCTAAAGTCCTAAACAGATTCTCTTTACCTCCAATAAATCAGCGTTGTATAATTTCTACTGTGTCCTGTGGTTGTTATAAACATGGCTGTTTAAACCAAAACCTGCTACGATATGAAGACGTTAACTTCTGCTATTCCTCTTGCCCCCCCTCTTGAACTTGATGACCTCCCAGCTTCACAAGGCGGTTGTATTTTTACTAAACTGCCACAATCCAACTGAGGAACCATCTGTCATGGAGCTCAAACTCTGTATAATCCTGCCCCCCTCGCTGCCCGCTACCTCCCAGTCTACCGGGTTTGTTTACCTTCTAGAGCTGCTTCTGCCAACTGTCAGATGAGCAAAACTCACCTAACGGCTGCAGGAGTGAACACAAGAGTCCTCATGCTCTCCCAGCGCCTGAGGAACTGAAAATCGAGTGGATTACTTTTGTTATTCTTGTAACAACAATATGAAAATCCTTTGTGTTAGCCCGTTGTGTGACTAATGCGGCTAACATTAGCTTCAACGGTACGCCCAGAGGTCTGAGGAAACCATAAAGCTGAGGGACAGACAGAGATGGAGGAAACTTTAAGACCAATTTGAAAGCAATAAACAAGGACTGGATGGGTTTTTGTGTTTTCATGCTCCAGTGCAGCCTAAACTCAGTCACTGTTTACGTCTGTTTGCTTCTCTCCTGCGCTGTGTGTGCACATATACTGTATCTTAACACAGCCAAATTCCCAATAAAACTCTCCTCATTTACATATTTCTCTGTGTCTGTTGTCAACGGAGCCACCATGGGAGGATGACTGAAACGCAGCCCAATACGAATAGAAGTTCACCAGCAGGAACTTCAGAGCCGTTTGCAAGCTGCTGCTCTAAATTATAGATTTTATACCCACAGCATCATCTGAGAAACTCTCCATAAACATAAATGTAAGACAACGGTTGTGCTGTGAATTCAGCAATATGTCCAATATGTAAAAGTCAGAAGTGATAGAAAGTCCTGGTCTCACACACTCATGACTGTCTGTGTTGGCTGTTGTCAGCTGTTTTTGTCAGTCACAGACGTGGAGAGTCTTCTTCCTGAACGGGGAATCAACAGCAGCTGTTTAGAGATAAAACCACGGCTTATAAAGTCATGGTGAAATAAACCATTTATGCATTTATGCAGTATTTTAGACTGACAAATTGAAAGACACACTTCAGAGATAAGTGACATTTCAATTAATCTACATGGTGCAATATGAGACCTTTAAAAGTGGCTTATAGGTGTTGTAAATGAAGCACTTTCTTATGATTCATCACCAAATTTGTATCTGTGCAGATACTTTGCCAACAGTTTTAAACCAACAGCACACATGCACACAGCTTCATTACTTGATTTGGTGGCTGTTCACCCACAGAAGGCCCTGCATGATGAGTTTATTTCTGTTAGTGGCTGTAAAGACTTTATCTTTGTTTTCTGTATGTTGAGCAGAATTTTGTTCAAAGCGTGTATATGTGCCAATAATAATCATCAATGGCTATAGTTGGATTCAAAACGCACCACTTAATTATTCATTCATTGTATTGCCCATGCAGCTAGCTCATTTTATGTTTTTGAACTATCCTCAAGAACTACTTTATTGTGAACAAAA